GGAGGTCCCATCCAGGTCCCTGCAGAGTGGGCGGAGCCCCAGCCTGGGGACCTGCCCAGAGCCAGGTGGGGGGGGGGGCGGGGCAGTTCAGCCAGGCACACTGTGGGGCAGTTGCAGGGCACGTCCAGGAGATTGGCTGGTGATGATTCATGGCGACATTAACAAGATCACCTTTACTTACTCTTTACTTACCTAGGAGAGCCATGTCCCCAAGAGCAGACACTAAGAGGAAAACTCTCCCTTTAGGAGCGTCCTCTTCACGTGCGCACCTTCTCCACCTGGACGTTTCCTACTTGTTCCCACCAGTGCTCGCGTGAACGTCCTCAAGAGCTCCTTGTGAATGGCCCACTGGTCACCTCTGCAGGAGGAAGTCCCTGCAGTGACCAAGAGTACAACTGTCTCAGGTTCTTGACCACACGGCCGACTGCCTGCTGGCAAGATCCCGCAGAAGACCCCCGAGGCACAGGAAGGGGGCTTCCCCAGTCGCCCCCAGGATGCCAACCTGGGGGATAAGAGGGGTGTGTGATCTGATCAGGACAGCATCACGGTACGTCTGTGTGTTATACTGGATCATTGCACAAACGAACTGATCAATAAGGAAATGAAACTGCCCAGCAGGGAGGGTCCCACCGCCATCGCCAACATGGATAGATATCTTCTTTCCTGTGGTTCTGTAAGGACCCTGTAAACACCCTGCACACTTCACGTAACTTKCAACCACAGTGTAGCCTCAATTTTAAATGCACTTTTTTCCTGGTGTCTTCTAAATGCTTTCTTCATTTCTCTTCTGTGCTCTACCTCCTAGTCTGAAACCACCATGTGGATGGACATTGTTATTGATATTATTAACCTGGCAGCTTGTGATCGGTAGGAAAAGAGGGGGAGGCCAGCGTCCCCAGGAGTCCACAGCCTCCTGTGGAGTTGAAGTGAGAGGAGAGGAGGGGTACTCGGGGGCCTCGGGAAAGCCAACGGCTGAAACCAGAGGCCACATCACACAAGAGCAGTGACCCAAGCAGAGTCGGCGTCAGAGGGGCTTCCAGAAGCCACTGTCATACCAACGTGGCTGGAGCCACATTGATGAGCAAAGCCAGAGATGAGCAAGGACCCAGTAAAAGTGCAAATATGATCAGCCACAGATTAGGAAAAACTCATCAGCCCTGGAATAAGGTCAAAGGAAACTCAAAAACACCATGAGGTAGAAAATAGGATAGGACAATTGACACCAGAAAGGTCACATCAGTGCGCAATGAGGGCCCAGGTGCCTGTCAGGAGGACGGGCCGTAAAAGGAGGAGTTTATCAAAGAAATAATAGAAGTTTATCCAGAGTCAAGAGAAAGCATCCCTCCACGCTGAGGAAGTCCACCCACAGGTGGGTGGCTCACCGAGTGCCATCTTGGCAGGCCACAGTACCCAAATGTCGGGTGAAACGTTAATCTGGATGTTTCCACCCTAAAGGGTGGCTACAAAACACAGTCATCACTGGCGGGACAAGAGGAGAAGCTGCCTTTGGAAGCGACACTTGGACACTGGACACCATCATCTTTGGACATGCTACTGAAGTCCTCAGCCACTGCAATAAATCAGGAAAAACAAGAGAACAGTGTGCAGATCAGAAAGAAAGAAAGAAAACTGTCATCACAGATGATTCAAATGTGAATGAAACGAACCCAAAACAATCTAGAGAGAAATTCTTCTCAGGGGTAAGGATTTCACGGAGCTGTGAGGTGATGCATCGGTATTCTATACATCGTCAACAAAGACAGAATGGATTTTGGAAAGGTCACATTGAAAGTATCCTCAGAAAACAGCATTATGAAAGGGGGGACAAATCATTGAAGGACACATAGACTGCTACTCAGAAGGTTTCAGTCACAGACACCAGGAAAAGCTTTGGTACACCAAGGTTCGTTCCAGGAACAAGGATAAAAAGCCAACATGGTGGAGGGATCATCCCCAGATCCACCTGTAGACTCCACACAGTCTCATCCAGTACCAGAGGCTGAGTGTGTGTGTGTGTGTGTGTGTGTGTGTGTGAGGGAGAGAGAGAGAGAGAGAGAGAGAGAGAGAGAGAGAGAGAGAGATTTACCTGCTGCTTCTAAACTTAAGTAATATTACAGAGGACCAAGGACACTTGAGATGTCCTGAAGAGTCAACTAAGATGACAAATAAGGTTACCTAAAAGTCAAGAAGTCGCTCACCAAAGACATCAATAAGAGAGTCCCTGACACAGAGGAGACAGACAACTGATAGAGGGTTCCCACCCAGTCTCCCCCAACCCGCCTTTCTCTCTGAGAGAAAATGCACATGGATAATTACGAGCTCTTCCTGGACATACTCACTACACAGACAGGACAGGAACTCGGACCTGGGTGCCGCAAGTGCTCAGCCTGGTCCCTCTTCTTCAACAGTAGGCTAGATAAGCACAGAAGACCCTGGAGGAAAACAAAGAAATCCTAAGCTGAAAAGTTCAACACACCTTTATGATTTAAAAAAAAAATTGTTTTTAAAGCAACTAGAACTAGAAGCTGGCGAAAGGCATCTCAGAACCCATGCTTCCTGGAGGCCCATGCTGTCCCCTGAGTCAGGGGACATGGGGGTGTCCCTCTTGCCACCTCTCTTCAACATCATGTTAGAGGCTGTAGCCAGGACAATTAGGCAGGAAAAAGAAATAAAGGGCACTCAGTTGGAGAGGAAGAAGTAAAACCATCTCTCTTCACCAGGGACGTGGCTACAGACAGAAAAGGCAATGGAATCCACCAGAATCTATCAATCTCAAAATCTCCCAGAACTGATAAATAAGTATGGCAAAGCTACAAGGATCAATATACAAGAATCAATCACCAAATCCTGGACACTAGCAACAAGCTTTCTGAAAATGAAACTAAAAAACCATTTTATACAATAATACCAAAAAGGAAAATATGGAGAAATAAAATTTTTAAAGTACAAGACTCATGTACCAAACTGCAAAGTACTACAGAAAGCAATTACAAGGCGGAGCAAACAGAAAGAGCCCGCACCCACAGCCAGTCTCCACTTAAGGTAGCACCATCTCCAGGGTTCTGCAGCCATTCTGTCCTCATCAAATCCCAGGCTGCTCTGCAGAAGTGGACAAACTGGCCCTGAAAGTCACGTGGAAACACAAAGGGCATTAAACAGTCAATCTTGGAAAAGAGAAGCAAAACTGAAGAACCCACTCTTCCTGACTTTGAAACTCATTACAAGCTGCAGTAATCGAGAGAGCAGGGCCCTAGATAAGGACGGAGAACGCACCAGTGCAAGAGGCTTGAGGAACCAGGAACCGCTTTCCTACTTCAGCTGGTCATCAACACGCATCCCAGACCATCCAGAGGGGAAAGAACCATCTTTTCCATAAATGGTGTTGGGTCAAGTAAACCTCCATGCTCAGAAGAGCTACCTCCCATCCGAGTCAACTCAACACGGATGAAAGACTTCAGCCTAAGTGCTTGACCTTGGACTAGGCAACAGTGCACACACACAAAAGATATTAAATTGGACATAATTAAAATTAAATATGTTTTGCTGCAAAGGCCACATTAAGAAAGTGGAATGGCAACCCGAGGAATGGAAGAAAGACCTGCAAATCATGTATCTCATCAGTCTAAGATGTGCTTCTGGAAAATAAGAAGATCACTCAGTTTCCCAGCAGGCAAGGATCTGATCAGACATTTCTCCAGAGAAGACACAAATGAGCACCTGCAGAGATGCCCAGCAGCCTTGGTCCTCAGGGGTAGCTGCTCAGCATCCTCCGCCCCTCAAACCACTTGAGACACCACTCTACGCCCACTGGGTAGATGCGACCAGAGACAACTGTTGGCAGCCCATAGAGAAATAACACCCTGGGCTGGGGTTGTGGCTCAGCGGCAGAGCGCTCACCTACCATGTGTGAGGCCCTGGGTTCGATCCTCAGCACCACATAAAAATAAATAAATAAAATAAAGGTATTGTGTCCTACCAAACTAAAAAATAAATATTGAAAAACAAAAGAAAAATAGAAATGACACCCTTTCACCTGTCGGTGAGGGCGTGAGCAGTGGGCCCCTCTGCCCAGCAGTCTGAGTTCTCCCAGAGGTTAAGCCTGACAGGTAACCGTGGTCCATCTCTTCAGTAGATTCCCAAGTGAGATGAAACCGGGTTTCCCCACCAGAACCTGTCCGGGAGTGTCCTGGCTGCATCCCTCGGGATAGCTGAAAGGTGGAAACTAGCTAAGTCACAGAAACAGAAAACAGAGAAGCAGAAGGTGCTGGGTCCCTAGGCTGCATGCGGGCACCTGGGAAGCATCATGCTCTTGAAGGAAGCCAGCCATATAAGCCCTAACCATGATCCCATTCCCATGAAGTGTCCACAATTGCAGATGAGTCTGGGTGTGACAAAGGAAGTGGGGGGGACAGGGCTTCAGGGTGGTGAAATGTTTTAAAAGTGATCTTGGGACAGTCCCATAACTCCACAAASGCGCTTAAGGCTACTGGGTTGCGCATGTTAACTAAGTGAATGGCACGGTGTGGGCTTTACAACTCCATCGAGCTACCCTCTGAAAATAAAATCGAAAGGCAAGTCACGGCCTCCGAAGTACAGGTATCCCTCGGAGAACGTGCTAAGGCCTTATTTTCCAACTTTACAACTGTTTATAAATGGGAACAGGCCTCTTAAAATGTGATACTCTTTTCAATCCAAACAAAATCTTCCTCCGGTTTTGTCCCACTTTCGCCTTCTTCCCGTTTCGCCGGCTCCTCCTTCTCCGACGCCTGGCCGCCCTCCGAGGCGAGGCGCGGGGATCGGGCGCAGACCCCCAGCAGCCCAGCTCCCTGGGGCTGCCAGGGAGGGCTGGGGGCGGCCGCTGTGACCTGGGGCGTTGCAGACACCGCCCCCCGCGGCCAGCGATAGGTCCCTCTCCACCTTGGCGACCTGCGGAGCGGGGCGGGGAGAGGAGACGCCACAGCGCGCGCCGCGGTCCGCAGGCTCAGAGGCGCGGCGGCGGGATGTGGGCGCCGGGCGGCCCCCCGGGACCTGCGGGCTGGGACCGCCGCAGAGTGGGCGCGAGGCTGCGCGCGGCGCTGGCTGGGCTGCACGAGCTGCGGGGGCTGCGCGCTGCGCAGCAGGCGCGAGTGCAGGGTGCCCTGGCCATGCAGCCCGCGCCCGCTGGTCCCCGCGGCCCCAGCGGCCAGGAGCTGCGGCTGGAGGCGGCGCTGGCCGCTCTGCAAGAGCAGCTGGTAAGGGCCGGTCCGGAAGCGCTTTTACCTGCGCAGGCGGCGGCCGGGATGGGCAGAGGGCGAGGGGCTGTCTGATGGGCCGAGGGGGCCGTCCTTGTGCTTAACTGGGATGCAGCTCTGTGCCAACGGAGTGGGACCTGCAGGCCGGGTGCGTAGGTGCGTAGGGGTAACCGGCCGCGGGTTGCGATCCTGGGAGCAGCGGGAGGAACCGCCCGTCCTCGCCCCGCTTGCGTGGGAAGCGCACCCGCTGCATGCGTCCCACGCAGACCCAATTGGGGTTGCCTTCACGCGCCGGTTGCAGTGCTGCTCTGGGAGGACTCCAGTGCCTTCATTTCCCCTGGCTGGAGTTGCCTGTGCATCCTGGCCTTATCCCAGGGTACCTGGTCCTTCCTGTGCTGCGCTGGGTTAGGGACAATAGTGCAGAGCGCGCTCTGAACCGTTCTGGATGTGTGCTCAGCTTGAATAGGGTCCAGCCTGGACGTGTGCTCAGGTTGAATGGTGTCTGGCCTGGACTGTGCTCAGATTGAAAGGGGTCCCGCCGCCATAAGGAAACAGGTGGGGGAAGTCCTGTGTCTGACATGTCTGAGGAGGGCATCTTTCCTGTAACAGGCAACCTGAGCCATAAAGAGGAGGTGGGAGCCAAACCCTTGAAGCTTTCTCTACCCTGTGTGTTGCCTGAACTCCCCAAGAGGCCAATTCCTTGTTATACCCTTGAAGATACTCCAGTTACTACTCTTTGGGTTATGACTGTTGTGTATAATTTCATTTAATTTATTGAAAACAAAAGAGTTTTACAGTATTGCAATATTTTTTAAAACATCAATTAAAATGCTATACATGATGTCTGTTTGAGTTACCCCTATTTTTCCAAGTGGAGTTTCTTTTACATTGGAAATCCAATCTGTCCTGTTAAAAGTCACCCTCTTCAACAGGCCTCCCCAGGAGGCCTCAGCAGCGTTCCAATCAGCTTAGCTCATTTGTGTCCTTAACGGGGCAAATGCTTCTGGATTAAAGAATCAGGAAGTCCAGTGACTGGAGACACCTCCCTGGACTCCTGTTACCTTCCCTTGCTGCCAGACACAGGTGAAGCCTGCCAGAGGGGGCCTGTCCCCTAACCCTGCAGCCTCTCTCTGCACCAGCTGCCCCACAGGAGAGGAGGGAGCTGGCGGGCAGTGGCTCTTTCACACTGCTCCAGCACCTGCTGACCCCCGGGGCCCTGCGTGTGGGTTAGTGCCCAGCTGTGTCTTGGCTTCTGCGTGGCCTCAGCCAGGCACACACAGTGTTGCACGCACGCGTGAATGTTCTCAAGGAGGTGGGGGTGTGGCTGATGAGTAACCTGGCCTCAGTAACACACCAATCAAGCTGTGGACTCGGGGCCTCTAATTACAAGTAGCCTTTTGGAAGAGATCAAACAGGTTTTTGTTTAATTTTCTTTTTTTTTAATGTGGGGACCAGAAGGAACATGCAGACTCTGACTTGAAACTTTGTTCTTGGAACGGATTATGTGATCAAAAGAGAAGGATAATTGACTTTGGGTGACATCAGCCAGTGCTTAACACTTTTACATTTTTCTTACAGGGAAAACAATTAGGAGTGATACTAGTTCTGTAATGAAGGAAACAATCCAAGGCTTTAGTCCAGCCGCTAAACACTCCAGTAACCAGCTGCCCGCCCCTCCCTGGCTTCACCTGGCCTAGGTCGACCTCCAGGTGTGAGGACAGGAAGAGCGTCTCTCTGGAGCAGCAGCCTTATCCTGCAGGAATTCTCAAGTGAGAACGTGCTCTAGCGTTCCTAGGGATTAAACTGTCTGAGAAGCAGCAACGTGTCAGATGAGCTCCACCTCACACTGAGTGGAGTGTCACAGGTCACAGAGATGCAGAGAACGCTCTGCTGAATCAATCCACCAGTGACTTTTGTTTATGGAACAAAAGGAGAGATTTCAGTATTTATTTCATCCTCTTCCAGGTTTCTATGCTAATGGCCCCTGTGCCCTCTGACCCCGGCAGGTGGCAGTAGCTCAGCCAGTCTGGGCAGAACCAGGGATGCTCTACCTGTCCGTGTCTTCAAGAGCGTTGGTCCTTCCCAGTCAGTGGCTGCCACTCTCGTTCCTGTAAGGTTGAGCCCCCACAGCAGCACCTAAGTAGAAAGATGTCCCCCACTGGTGACCCGGGAGGGGCCTGAAGACCTCTGCCACCAGAGCTGTGCCCCTGGAGTGAAGCCAGGAAACCGCATGGGGACACAGTGAGGTCTCACCCTGGAGGACGTCCCCCGGCTGGCTGTGCTGGTCACGACTTGCTCTAAACGTGGTAGTCGCAGCGAGTCCTTCCTGCTGGGCAGGCTCCAGGGTTCCGAGCTGCAGGAGTGGGCCCCGCAGCTGTGAGTGCCAATGTGATGCTCAGAGAGCCGAGGAAGGGTTGAGAGCTTGCTCAAGATCAAGGCTGAGGGCAGGCGTCCACAAGACCTGCCGGGCTTCCCCAGGTCACAGTACTGTTGTCCATGAGTCCCATCAGGGAACCCGGGCTCCTTGGCTATTGATTGATGGAGCCCTTTTTAACTCAGTGGTGATGTTTACCCCTCTACAGGACAAGGGCCATAGCTGTGTCCTTCATGCATAAAATATTGCCATTGTACATTCTTAGCCTTCAAGGAAAGAAAGGAAGTGGTTTAGATACCATCGCTAGAGCCTGAGATTTAAGGCACTTTTAATTTCTGCTCCGTGAATACAATTTTGTGATGACTACAATGCAGAACTGTTGATGGGGAGGGCAAAGCAAGTGCAGCTTAGATAATTTCCTGTGGGCCATAAAGTCAGCGTTTCAAAGAAAGGGCTTAGCCAGATCTCATTTTTAGAGAACCACCTGGGATAGACAGCCTGACTTTTCCAGGTCTGGGAAATGGTTCTGCCCCTGGGCTATTATTAACATCCCGGCTCCAGGCTGGCAAGCCCAGGATCTGCAGGTGTGCCAGGTGATTACCCTGGGACCCTGGGTGGTCCACCCAGGTGCCATGTCCTGCCTGACCAGCCCCCGACCAGGGGTCAGGCACTCTGACCCAAGAGCCCCCAGCATGTCTTGAGAAGCATGGCCCCAAGTGGGCCTGAAGTCCTACAGTGAGAGTGAGAGCTGACCGGCTGTGGCCTGCTGCCACGGAGAGTGCTCTGGGCTGGGCTTGCAGGGCCAGGCCAGCCCTCGTAGCATGTCACCTTGGAGCACAAAGGGCCGTGGCCTGAAAGAGGAAGGAAGCACAGCCAAGGAACCCCAAGTCAGTCAGGGACGGTGGAAAGGGCTAGCAGGGTGGTGTGAGCCTGAGTGGTGGCCCCGCTGGAGGGCAGCGGGGCCTAAGGACGTGATGAGTCATCTGTGTGCCTTGACCAGAGTCGGATACCAGCCTGCGAAGGCTGGCCAGCAGGGTTGATCACAAAGCAGCTAGCCCCAACGCAGACGCCGGGCAGACTGTGGCGAAGGGCTGCAGGTGGAGGGGAGGCCCTCGGGTCCGCAGGCTGCCTCCCTAGAAGGCAGGGGAAGTCGTGATTGAGGAGAGGTAGATGCTTTTAGAGATGAAATGAGACCGTAGAGAGGAGCCTGTGTGGCTTTAGGACAGGAAAGAAAAATCATTCGCAAGACAGATACACGCTGGGCCTTCAGTAAATCTTTCTTGTTTTGTTTTTTCAAGAAGGTCACGGGGCTGAGCCTGTCTGTGCTGCAGGGCTTTTTTGGTAGTGCTGGGAAACATTTTGCTATCGTGACAATGGGAATGCTGGGACACCAGGACACTTGGACCAGTCTGGGTGGTTCTGGAAGCACAGAGTTCTGTTCAGCTCAAGGCTGGTTTTGCCACGCTCCTGTTTACAGATGATATTGTGGCTTGGAGACTCCATTCAGACCTGGGAGGTTGTTCCAGGACCTCTGATTTGTCTCCTGGAAGAAAAGCTAAGCTGACTTACATCGTCCCCCCCCAAGCTGTGTGTCACCTCACCTGGGGTGATGCAGGGGTTGTCAGTCAGGACTGGGAAATCTCTGCAGAAGTAATCCTGTCCTGTGAGCAGGGCATTGCGACTCCCTCCTTCCCCTTGTGAAGATTTCTTGTAATGCTGAAATCACTGAAGTCATACCCCAAAGAAATGCAATCCGTCACTTTCTTAGGATAAACCCATTTATCAATTATTTGAAATGCAGTCAGCCTGGAAAACACGCTGAAATTCTGTAATTGAGAGAAGTCAACATTTACTAACTTCTCAGTGCCAGATGATGTAGAGCCATGGATACAGGCATGTATGGTATTCACCTGTGTACGTAGAGTGTGTTCGTGGCAGGTCAGGTGGGCAGGTGGACACACACATGTGGTTAATGCTCCTAAGAACCCACGTGGCTACCAGGTGCCCGGCTGGAGGAGACAGCCTCTGTGGGCAGATCAGAGTTCCCCTTCTCCAGTGAAGACCCCACCATTTCTTTCATGCAAGTCGAATGATCTCTTTGTCTCTTGTGGTGCCCGAGGCCCTGGCTGAGAGTCTCTTCCCTGAATTCTCTCAAACCTGTGGCAACCAGAGCCATCTCTCGGGAAAGGGAAGGGAGGCAGGATGCAGGATGTCTCTTCTCTTCCTGGGGACATTCTACCCTGGGAAGGTGGCAGGAGGGCACAGATTCACCATCCCCAGCTGTGTCTCCCCAGGGGCTGCTGTGAGGGTCACTGTAATTGGGGGTGAATTCTTACCTGGAGCAGCAGGGTGAATGTCTCCCGGTGGGTGCTCGGAGATGGGGTCCTTGTGCTGCTCCACCCTCCCAGGGAGCTGCTTTCCTGCCTCCCCTGAGGAGGAATAGCCTTACTGGAAATCGCAAAGCGTTTTACAAGTCTGCGTTGGAGGAGAGTGGTTTATGTGTGCCTCGTTCAGTGTGTGCCAGTAGCACAGACGTGGCTCAGCCTGAGTGAGGGGCAGCCACCGTGAGGAACCCCCCAGCGCAGATGCTGCCTTGCAGTCGCCTTTCTGCCCACAGAGCCTCATTTCTGCACCTGCTCAACTTTCTTTTTTTTTTTTTTTTTTTTGCTTCTTAGTCCCAGCTACGACGGCAGGACACTGGGCTGCAGACCCACCTGGACCAGCTGGACCAGCAGATCAGTGAGCTGCAGCTGGGTGTGCACAGGTCTTCTGTCGAGGTCCCTGACAGCGACAGCAGGCCCAGCTCAGGTAGGAGGGCCAGGGCTGTGGGAGGGGCTGCCTGCAGGCCTGCCCCCCAGGGGCTGCAGAGGCTGGTGGGCATCAGAGTGACACCATGTGCCCACACCCCTCTTGGGGACCTTGTCTGAACTGGTGAGCAGTGCTGGCCCTGGGCCTGTGGTCCGGCTGATCTGGAAGTTAGGTGGCAGCTGGAGGCCTGAGAAAGCCCATGTCATCAGAGAGGACCAAGCAAGGCGCTGTGAGGGGAGGTACAGCTCCGTGTGCACCCGCGTGTGGCAGCAGTTTGCCTTGGACGGGACCCTGAGCTTCTCCCTTGGCTCAGCCGTCAGCTCTGCTTGGCTGGGCAGTCGCAGGGAGGACACCCACGCCTTCCAGTCCACAAACTTGTCAGCCTCAGGTCTGCACAGCATGTCCAAGGGGACAGGGAAGTCCCCTTCCCACCACATCTCAGAGGCCACAGGGGTCAGCCACAGTCTCTGTGGCTCTGGTCACTTTCGCCTCCATCCCAGGCCGCACTGGAACAGGTCTGTCTTCAGATCACTGTTGGGAGGTTCCAGTGGCAGCGTGGGGCAGGACCGGTGCTGCCGGCCACCACGCTTTCCAGCCCGGCCGGGCTGTGTGGTGCCTCCCATGGCCCAGGGCAGAGGTGTCCTGAAATCACCCCTCGCAGGCGCTGGGGGGACGGGGAGATGCCTAAGGCCTGGCTCGGGCTGGACCTGCGGAAGAGACCTCCCCTTCCATGGGGCAGCTACCACAGCTGTCGGAACTGCTGGCCAGGGCAGGGAGGGTGGGGGCCGGTGAGGCGGTTCTGCCCTTCCCACGGTGCTCACAGCTGCTGGAAGGTTCTGCAGGCCCCCCCCTGGCCCTGGAGGAGTGAGAGGGAGAGGAACCCGGGGTCCTCAGGCAGAATCCACTGCCCGGGGCACACTGACCTGCATATGTCTGCTCTGTCCAGGCTTCTACGAGCTGAGTGATGCGGGCTCCTGCTCTCTGTCCACCTCCTGTGCCTCAGTGTGCAGTGACCGCCTGTCCCCCTCCCTGTGCAGTCTGCTGCCTGCAGTCTCCATGGTCAGGCCCAACATGGGGGACTGGCGACCTCGGTCTGCTGATGAGACCACTGTGCCAGCATGGAGACCCCAGCCCATCAAAGAGAGTGGCAGGCTCCTGGACAGTGGAGAGGACACTGGCCAGCCCAGAGGCATGTTCCGGCCCAGGCCAGTGTCTACAGGTGAGAGAGCCAGAAGGGGTGGGCGCAGCCAAGGACGGCCTGTTCACACCTGCTAGGGATGGAGCAGAGACCCCCTGGGGTTGTCTGGGCACTGCCCTGCAGGGAGAGGAGCAATCCAATGTCTGCATCTGGGCATGATGGACACGCTCTCCTAGTCTCCTAATGTGTGGGTTTCCTTAGGACTTAAAACGCATATCAGAAAGTCAAAAGGCCATCCTTCCAAACCCTCTGGTCTGCCTGAGGTTGGGGAAGGTGGAGAGATGAGCCTACTCCCCCTTAGCTTCCTCCCTGATCCAAAAAAAGGGAAGATGCCATTCGGCCTCCTTCTATTTCGGTGTGAGACGGAGTTTGGTGCCAGCCGTGGCTCTCCTGGTGAAGGCGCCGCAGTGCGCCACCTGTGGAACGTGAGCTGCTGCAGACCCTCGGCCCCCGCAGCCTGCAGACTCAAAGCAAGGGCCTGAGCTCACTGTGGACAGGGACTGAGGGCCATGGAGGAAGAGCAGGCGCCCACGGCCAGACTGCCCTCACGCCTGACGTCCCCGGGTGGTGCGGAGGTCCTGCGGATGAGCCCCCGCAGGCCATGTCAGTGAACTCCTGGTCACTGATGCCCTTGTTCACGGTGTTCTGTTCCAGGAGATCTCGAACGCGTCCTCCCAGTGGACGTGGGGCTCCGGAGAGTTGACCAGGAGGCCACACCCCCCTCTCACCTCTGCCAGGGGATGGATGTGCCATCCCCCAAGCTGGACCCCAAGTACCAGCGTGACCTGGTGTCCAGGGGGGGCCGGGAGGTGTACCTGTACCCCAGCCCCCTGCACGCAGTGGCCCTGCAGAGCCCGCTGTTCGCACTGACTCAGGAGACCCCGCCACTCGATGGCCATTTGCCCCCCAGGAGCCCTCTTTTGGGCCCCAGGGATCTGAGCACCACCCCAGCAGCACCAGTCCTTGAGGCTGGCCCAGCGGGAGCTTACATTGACAGGCTGCTGCGTCTGCGAAGCCAAGAGGCCGCGTCCAGGGGACCTGGTGGGGAGCAGGGACCCCCAGGACGTGAAGCATCCCCATCCCCCAAGAAGCCCGATGCCCAGAGACTGGGCAGTGGAGGTTGGCCTGCGAAGCTGGCCTGTTCCCCAGCGAGAGGGGATCTGGGAGTGGCAGCTCAGAGCAGGGCCAGCAGTGGAGACGGGCAGCAGGAACCCGCACCGCTCCTGCACACCCAGTCCCCCAGACACCCCCGGGAGAAGGGCCCCGAGCCCTGGAACCTCTGTGCCTTCGGGGAGACCTCTGTGGGCCCCTCTCCCTGCCCCCAGGCACAGCAGCCCCATGGAGACTGCAGCCCAGGCATCTCGTCCTCTTCTGGGAGCGTGGACTGTGGAAGTCCCCCTAGAGCCCCAGGCCATCTTGTCCACCCACCTTGCACCGCCAGCGAAGCCTCCCGGATGGGGCTGAAGACGGGCCACCCCAAGACCAAGCCTGTGAAGGTCAGGAGGAAGGCCAGCGACAAGACGCCGAGGCTTGGGAACCAGGCGCCACTGCTGCCAGAGAGACCTTGGGGTGTCCACGCTGCCCCCCAGCTGTCCCCAGAGTGTGGCCCCACACACAGGCCCCAGGAGGGAGGGCTCAGGAGGAGGCCTGGGCTGGCTGGGGTTGCTCCTGGACGGTCCTGTTCTGAGTCCACTCTGTACCCTGTGCCCTTCTTCGTCCCTCTGTTGGTGGCCCAGCGGGAAAGCTACCGGGCACCGTCCCAAGCCCTGTCCTCCTTGGAGACAGCCCCACTTTGTGCAGCCGCCAGGAGGAAGCAGCGCAGGTGGCAGTCCACCGTGGAGATCTCAGCCGAGGCCCATCTGGCCAGTGCTCAGGAGCCCAGCCTGGGGCCCTCGAGGTCCCCGGCCAGGAGAGCAGGTGGCCTACAGGCCCAGGGCCGGCCCACGCTGGCCCGCCAGGACGCCTGCTCCAGGAGCCAGTCGGACTCCGCGGAGTGCTCAGCAGAGTGCGCCTCGCTGCTGCAGTCCACCATTGCGGAGAGCAGCGAGGAGGCGGCCAGCGACCACACTGCCAACCGCTTCGGGGACGGGGAGTCCAGCAGCAGCGACTCGGAGGACTGCTTCCAGAGCCACAGCCGCCGCCTGGGAGTGGACGTCGCGGCTGCCAGGCAGGGGGAGCTGGCCTGGCCCCGGGCAGTCCCCCAGCAGCCCCCACGGGCCCCCGTGGGTGCAAGGCCTCCCCTACCCCCGGTGCCCAAGCTGTGCCGCATCAAAGCCTCCAGGGCCCTGAAGAAAAAGATCCGCAGGTTCCAGCCGGCCGCCCTGAAGGTCATGACCATGGTGTAAGGCAGGCTCCTGATGGCCCGTCCCTCTGCGTGGACAGGTGTGGGTTTGCAGGTTGGCTTCACTCCTGAGTGGCCACTGGAGGAGCCCTGGGAGGCCCTGGCCTTGGGACATGGCTGCATGCTCTGTGGGGAGATCTTTCTTCCCAGCAGACTCAGGAGAACTGTGAAGTCACAGAGGACACAAGTGGCCTCTGCCAGCAGCCCCTCTGACGTCTCCGTCCTGTAGTCCAGTGGTTGCTTTCCTCCCTTGACCCACTTCAGCCTCAGCCATCCCTCCAGAGACCATTATTGTAGGAATGTGGCCAACTCTCTGCTGGTGCCGCTGTGAACTGGAGCTCATGTGAAGCTCTCCGTGTGAATAAACCCCAGTTTGCCATTGTCCTCGCCTGGAGAAGCACGCGTCTCCTTGACCCGCAGCCTGGTCCCTGTGCGGCAGGCCCCAGGTGCTCCGAGAGCGCCTCCTTCCTGCGCTGGCCTGGAGGGCAGGAGAGACCTGGTGGGAGCAGGGTCCCCTCGGCGTCCAGGCACGGTGGGAAAACGACTTCCTTTGGGTGTGGGTTTTTTCCAAAGAAAACTCCCCTCGGCCTCTCAAGGAGAAAGGAGACTAACTGAGCTGCTCCGTGAGTGTCCCAGTCTGCACAGCCCACACCAGGCTTTGTCTGGGCCATCACAGGCTGCTCCAAAGTGCACCCTGGCCCAGAGCTGGAAAAGAGTTGGGGGCACCAAAGTCCTCACACTTCCGGACCCCCCTTCCTAATTTTGGGAAGAAGCTCTTAAGAAAACTACTGAAAATACTAGTAGATTTATCCCAGTTGTCAAATATTCCTGGAACAAGCAGCCAGCTTTGGGTACAGTCTGAAGGGCCTCACACTGTAAAAGTTGATTTGCATCTTAGAATTGAAAAGAGGACCTCCCGTCCTTCCTGCCCGGCTTCCTGTGCGGGCCATTCCAAGACGCACGGTCCAGCTCTCCTCCTGTGGGCCCCGGGTGATGGGAAACTGGCTCTGCCAGGACCTAGCCTGCGAGGCCACCGAGGCAGCTGGTCGTCCTGGCCTTGTCGCCGGGGCCCTGGGCAAGTCCACACGGTGCTGGGGGGCGCTGTGTCCCCAGCTGGGCATCCTGGGGAGGTGGTGGCTCCTTCTGCTCACTGGACATCTGCTGTAGCATCTACTGGGGCTTTCACGAAGCTTCCAGTGAACCACCTGGAAAGTGCACCCCTCCTGCTCTTTGTGAGGCGTGTCCTGTCCTGTGTCACCTGTCACCTCCGGAAGGCAGGCTGTCACTGAGCAGGCTCCCATGCAGGCACTGCAGAGGGGAGTGCGGAGGGTTTGGGAGGCTCAGCCTCTCTGCTCATCCCCCTGGAGAGCCGGCCGGACTCCTGATCATTCAGGTGCCCCCTGCCCCAGCCTGCAGGCCTGTCCACAGCCCTGAAAACCAGCCAGAACACCACACCACCCCAAACCAGTGGGCAGAAAGGGTCCTCAGTGACCACAGTGCAGAGCAGCCAGGAGCGGCCTTCCCCTTGCCCTGCCCGCTGGGTGTCTGTCTGTCTCCCTCAGCAGCTTGCCCTCTCCTGTCCACCCTCCTTCCTCTCTCTCTCTACTGCCTGTCATTAAGGAAAAGTGTTCCAGGGACACTTACTAAAGTGGGCGAGGGGGACGCCAGGCAGGACCATCCTGACGGCATCAAGGACATGCAGTGGGATCCCCAGGAGGCAGGGCCTCAACTCTGAGCAGCATGGGCCAGAGGGATGCGATGGCCAAGCAGCAGGAAATGACCAAGAGGGGCATCTGGGGTGGGGACTGTGTCTCAATCCCCCCACAGGAGTGTCCTGAGGGACTCAGGGCAGAGTGCCCAGAACAAGCGTGAGACGAATGTGGCACAGGACACCGTCCATGCATCCATCGGCCTGAGAGCAGCTTCCACCAGTGTGGTTATCTTCCAGACAGACATGGGTGGCCATTCGCAGTGAGGAGACCCAGCAGGCTGTGGCCTGTGACGTGGGGACTCAGGGAGGCACCAATGGGCGCATCCAGAGGCAGAGGAACTCACTCATCCCTCCTGCTGAGAGCTGAGGATTCACCTTCTGGCCATGAGAAATCCTTTGTAGCTTCTAGCATGACTGAAATAAAATATTTTAGCTAAATAAATAAATAAAAACAAAGCGAGCTCCGAGAATCAAAGTAAGTAAGTAACCGCCACCTGCACCGCTACCCCCACTGCTGCTTCCTCCGACTCCGCTGCGGCCAGCCTGAGGTCGCTGGAGGTCTTCTGTCTGGTTGCTGCTGCCCAGAAGAAACCGTGGCCCCCAGGCAACTGAGGCCCACACTGCTGTTGACCCCCGGAGATGGCCCCCACAGCTGCCATTGCCCCCACCGCTGCTGCTGACCCACTGCCTGCTGCAGCAACCACTGCCACTTCCCCTGCCACTTCCCCTGCCACCGCGGCCTAGAGAACTGCTGTGGGGAGACTCCGGGTTTGGCTGCAGGTGGCTGCACCCACTTGGGGACACCAGCCAGGGCCTGGGGCCTGGGTGCCAGCAGGTTTACCACCACCAGAGCCTCTGCCTGGGGACTCCAGCTGGGACCTGCAGGTCCAGGGTGGGTGCCTGCGGGTTTGGGGAGCCTGGGGTCTTCCTGCTGAGGGAGCTGGTGGCCCTTGTCTTGCTGCTGCATCTCGGGTTGCTCCTTGGCATGAGTGTGTCTGGTGGTCCCTCTGCAAGTAGGAGCAGCACTGAGGTCTTGGGACTGCAGGTGGCCGAGCCTGAGGTGACTGAAGMCCAGATCAGTGGGRTAGAGACTGGGTTGGGAGGACTGATCTGGGTCTGGTGATCCCGAGAGACATCTGAGAGGGGGCTGAGAAACTGTYGAACACTGAGAGACAGTGCGGCTTTCCAGCAAGATTCATTTTATTTTATTTTTTGATTCACTAATCTCTCTGCCATATTTGGAACAGGATGTATTTTATGCATCAGTGTGTGGAGGACAAGGATATATGATTGGTGTTTTGCCGTTTTGTGATATTCTTATGTCTTTATTTTTTTCTCTGTTCATATTCTTCCTCTCTCTGTTTTCTTGGATTTCTTTCCCTTTTTCTCCAACCAACAGCCAATCTCTGTCGGCTCCTCTTCCACTCTTCCTGTGAATACTGTGTACTACACCACCTCTCTTCTCTCATCCACCATTTGAAATTGTAAATCATTTTAACAGATATTYTGTTTACACTATAGATAGTTATTGAACTCATCATTGTGGTTTAATGAGAGAAAGCAGTAGATGCCTTAGTGGGAGCTATTAAGTTTAAGGCTATATATTGTGTGCACTGGGTGCTGTTGATATTGGTCTCACCAGTAATGGTGAGGTGCTGGAAACTTCAGGGACACTATAGGTCTTCARGGTAGAACCTACCCTGCCTTAGATCCATACTTTAGATGGAAAACACACTAACAACATGAAAAAACAGGGGAATAAAGTGCCCCAAACAAACCAAGATGCATCAACAACAGAAGGCACCGATAATACAGTAGAAGAAATGTCCAAAAAGGAGTTCAGATTGTACATAGTTAAACTGATATGTGAAGTATAAGGAGTGAAATCAAAGAAAAAATACAGGAAGTGAAAGACCACTTCAATAAAGAGTTAGAGATCATGGAAAAAAAAGCAGAAATCATCAAGATGAAGGAATCAGTAATTGAAATTATAAATTCAACAGAAAGCATCACCAAAAGACTAGACCACTTGGAAGACAGAATCTCAGTCAGTGAAGACAAAATATATAACCTTGAAAATAAAGTTGAACACACAGAGAAATGGTAAGAAACCATGAACAGAACATCTAAGAATTATGGGATAATATGAAAAGACCAAATTAAAGAGTTATTGGAATAGATGAAGGAGCAGAGATACAAACCAAAGGAATGCACAATCTTTTCAATGATACAGTAGCAGAAATTTCCCAAACCTAAAGAATGGAATGGAAAATTAAATACAAGAGGCTTACAGGACCCCAAATATACAAAATTACAGCAGACCCACACCAAGACACATTATAATGAGAATGACTAACACAGAGAAAAAAGATAAAATCTTAAAGGCCGTGAGAGAAAAAATCAAATTACGTATAGGGGGAAACCAATTCGGATCTCAACTGATTTCTCAGCCCAGACCCTCAAAGCTGGGAGGTCTTGGAATAATATATTTCAAGCTCTGAAAGAAAATGGGTGCCAACCAAGAATTTTATGTCCAGAAAAATTAAGTTTCAGATTTGAAGATGAAATTAAAATCTTTCATGATAAGCAAAAATTAAAGAATTCACAGCTAAAAAGCTACACTACAGAGCATTCTCAACAAAATAGTCCATGAGGATGAAGTGAAAAAAAAAGTGAAAACCAGCAAAGGGAGAMTCTCCACTAAAGGGACATTCAACAAGTGAGAAACTAAGACAAATCCAGAAATAAATCAAAAACCAGAAATAAATCAAAATGACAGGGAATAGAARTCATATCTCAATAATGACGTTGAATGTTAATAGCCTAAACTCATCAATCAAAAGACACAGGCTGGCAGATTGGATTAAAAAGCAAGACCCAACAACATGCTGTCTCCCAGAGACTCAGCTCATGGGCAAAGACATCCACAGCTGTAGGTGGAAGGCTGGGAAAAGCTTATCACTCATAAGGATTGCGGAAACAAGCCCGGGTGTCCATCCTCATCTCAGATACAGTAGACTGCAAACCAGAGTTAATCAGAAGAGACAAAGAAGGACGTTCATACTTCTTAGGGAAGTATATATAAGCAGGACATGACAGTTATGAATATTTATGCACCAAATAATGGTGCTGTGACGTTCATAAAACAAATTCTCCTCAAGTTCAAGAATTAAATAGACCACAACACAATAATTATGGGTGACTTCAACACACCTCTCTCACCACTGGACAGATCTTCCAAACAAAAGTTAAATAAGGAAACAATAGAACTAAATAATACAATCAATAATTTA